CTTATACCATTCCTGATTTTAAAACATGCAGTTTCCCCTTGTTTTGTTCAAATGATAACCTCTTGGTCTATGTACAGGTTATTAAGTGTTCTGGGATTCCCATTCTTTGCAATGTTATCCATAATTTGTTATGATCTACACAGTCAAATGCCTCTGCATAGTCAACGAAACACAGGTAAACATCTTTCTTGTATCTTTTGCTCTCAGCTAAGATCCACCTGACATCAGCAATGATATCCCTCATTCCATGTCCTCTTCTGAATCCAGCCTGCATTCTGGAAGTTCCCTGTCAACATACTGCTGCAATAATTTTTTAATCACCTTCAGCAAAATCTTACTTGCATATGATATTGTTCAATAATTTCCTCATTCTATTGGATCACCATTCTTTGGGAAGGGTACAAATATGGATCTCTTCCAGTCCACTGGCCAGGTAGCTGTCTTCCAAATTTCCAAGCATAGAAGAGTAAGTGCCTCCAGAACTGCATCTATTTTCAGAAATACTGCTATATGTATTTTGTCAATTCTTAGACCCTTGTTCTTCACCATTCCTTCAGTACAGCTTTGACTTCTTCCTTCAATACCATTGGTTATTGATTATATGGTACCTCCTGAAAGAGTGAACATCAACCAATCCTTTTGGTAGAGTGACTGTGCATGCCTTCCATTTTCTTTTGATGCTTGCTACATAATTCAATATTTTACCCATAGAATCCCTCAAAATTGGAAGTGGAGGTTTGAATTTTTTCTTCAGTTCTCTTATCTTGAGAAATGTCACATGTGTTCTCTTTTGGTTTTCTACTCCAGATCTTTGCACATTTCATTATAATACTTTACTTTGTCTTCTCGAGTTGTCCTTTAAATCTTCTGTTCAACTCTTTTATTTGAATGTTTCTACCTTTTGCTTTAGCTACTGTCTGTTCCAGAGGAAGTTTCAGAGTCTCTTCTGACATCTAGTTTGCTCTTTTCTTCCTTTCCTGTCTTTTTAATGACCTTTTGCTTTATGCGTGTATGATGTTCTTGATGTCATCACACAATTTGTCTTTGGTCATTTGTATTCAATACATCACATCAATTCTTCAGATGGCCTCTAAATCCAAGTGGGATATATTTGAGGTTATATTTTGGCTCTCAAGGGCTTGTTTTAGTTTCTTCAGCTTCAATTTGTACTAGCATATCAGCAATTGAGTGTCTGTTCCATAGTCAGCTCCTGGCCTTATTTTGATTGATGACATTGAGCTTTTCCTAGCCTCTTTCTACAGATGTTTGATTCCTATATTTTCCATCTGGTGAGGTGCATGTGTATAGCCACCATTTACATTGTTGAAAAAATATATTTGCAACAAGTAAGACATTGGTCTTGCAAAATTCTATCATGCTTTCTCCAGTGTCATTTCTATCACCAAGGCTGTATTTTCCAACTACTGATGCTTCTTTGTTTCCAACTTTCGCATTCCAGTCACTAGCAATAATCAATACATCTTGATTGCATGTTTGGTTAATTTCAGATGCAGACATTGGTAAAAAATCTTTAATATTTTTCATCTTTTGCTTTGGTGCATAAACTTGACTAATAGTTACATTAACTAGTCTTCCTTTCAGGTGTATGGATATATTCAATCACTGACAGTATTGTACTTCAGGATAGATCTTGAAATGTTTTTTGATAATGAATGCAATGCCATTCCTCTTCAATTGTCTTTCCTGGCACAGTAGATTACATGATTGTCTGATTCAAAATTACCAAAACCAGTACATTTCAGCTCACTCATGCCTATGATGTTGACCTTTATGTGTTCCATTTCATTCTGGATAACTTCCAATTTTCCTAGATTCATACTTCATACATTTCACATTCCAATAATTAATGGATGTTTGTAGCTGTGTCTTCCCATTTTGAGTCATGTCCCATCAGCAAAAGGAGGTACTTTGCTTTACTCCATCCACATCATTAAGGTCAACTCTACTTTGAGGAGGCACCTCTTCCTCAGTCATATTTTGAGTGCCTTCCAACCCAGTGGACTCATCTTCTGGCACCGTATCAGACAATGTTTCATGGCTCCTCACAAAGCTTTCCAGTAATATACAAGACAGTGTTTGGCTGCTATTCATAAGGTTTTCAGTGGCTAATTCTTTAAGAAGTGGATGGCTCCATCCTTCTTCCCAGTCTGTCTTTGTCTGGAAGCTCTGCTGAAACCTGTCCACCATGGGTGACCCTATTGGTATGTGAAATACCAGTGGCATAGCCTTCAGCCTCATAGCAATATGCAAGTCATCACAATACAACTTACTGACGGATGAGTGGAAGGGTAGTAGACAATTTGCACTACCCAAGAAGCTTTGCTTCCAGATTACTATGGTCAATCACAGAATTACCAAAAATATCACTAAGCAGTATAATCCACCTGGGAAATCACAGTCATCCACCGGCAAATCAGAAGGACCAGGTTCTGGAGCACAGTCAGGACTGGCACAATGGATTTTACTTCTCAGAAACTCTTCCTTTTCTATTTCAGCTAATATCTAAGAAATTAAAAGAATATCAATGAGTAAAGAAACCAAAAGAGAGAGTAAAGCTATTCTTTTAATAATATACTTAAATATTTATATCTCCATACCTGCCATTGTATTTACTCCAAATTACTCTTAGATACAAATCTCTCTCAAATACACATTGGTAATTATTTTCTTTATGGTGAACAGAAATGTTTTCTTCCCAAAAAGAACACTGTATTTTACCCCCTGTTATGTTTTTCAGAACTCTAATTACTTTCTAATATTAATCCATAATATTTGGTTAAGCTGCTTGGTAATCATGTCAAAATGTTTGTACTAATGTGTTGGTTTCCTTCTATTATATTCCTGTCTTTCTGAACTGTAGTGAGAGTTCATGTACATATAATGTCAATACTTTCAATATGTTAAAAAGTGAACTATTTTCTACTTTAACCCTAATTATACATGCCATGATTTTGATCAACACTTTTCCATAATTAGATTTGCATCACACTCTACTTAGAAAGATATAGACTATCTGTGCAATGGAGTAGCAGTTTGATCAAATTTAATATTTCAAATTTGAATGTCACCAAAAAAGTAAGAGATATATAAATAGTTGTACATTTTGTTAAATATCTTATAGAGTGGAGATAAGAAAAGGGGTAAAATGATAGAGTTTGGGACTACAAGGAATGTAAGACGCTGAACCTACAGAAGAGAATTTCTCTGAAATACATTTCTGAGGGTTTTGACCCAGAAAAAACCCTGGGCTCTCCTTCACTCTTAAGTTTTAAGGAGTTCTGTTTACTTGTTTTTTCAGTTTTATCTGTTCTTTTTATACTAACACAAGATGGTCTACATTTAAAGTTTCTAATAAATCTCTGCTGGAACATAGTACATTCCTAAGCAAGGTAATAAACACTAAAGTATATTCATTTTTTCCCTCTGGCTTTTTAAGGAAAAAAAAAAACAAACCATGCAATATAACTCTACTCTCTTCATTTACATAGACTTTAAATTTCCAAGTATAGGTGATTCAGATCACTTTTTCTAATATTATTAAATATTTGAGTGGTTTTATATTAGATGCCTGGTAAAAACATAAAACCAAAACTGATTGTATAAAATAATTATTCTTTAAATTAGTGAATTAACTATCATTAACTATCAAGAGGGAATGATAGATTTTTCAATGTAATATTGAGCACTTCCTACCTTCATTAATTGCTCAGAATTTTCTTGATACTCAGTTGGTAATTTTATCCTTAAATGTATACGATTATTAGAAACTGCTCCATTACCACAGCCTAGAAAAAAGGAAAAAAAATATAACTTCAAATATCAGAGTAGGAATCATGTTAAAATACCAAACACTTTCATCAACTTCTAATTCTATTATTGTACATTATTGATCAGTGAGAATAACTCTGAAAACAAGGGAAAAATAACAAAGAATGAAAAAACAGAGGAAACCTATTATCCTTAGTGTTACACAGTGCTAAGGTACTATGACTCTATTATCTTTCATATTCTATACAGAATCTTATTTTTCATGAACAGAGAACCATGATTTGCTTGATATTACAAGGATATATTGATCAGAATTCAGCAAAGGTTCAGTGCTGTCTGCCACAAACTAGCAATATAATCTTGCAGAAGGTATTAAAAAAAAAAACTAGCTGTACCACTTTTCTTGCTAGTTATTTTCTATAATTGCATTTTCTTTCTTTTTTAAAAAATTGTAATTAGGTTGTAATTAGGCTATATAAATGCTGCTATATTTATAACCTATTTTCATGGTGTAAACCTTAGTAAAAACAAATAAGCAAAATAAACCATTAATACTCTCCCTCTCCTAATTCAACCATAGGCTGGACCACTGTCAAAATTTGAAATGTATATAGCAAGTCTTCACATATCCATTTACCCAGGTGCTCAGGACCAAAATCCTTTCTTTCTTCCTTTCACACCATTCCATCAATAAATCCTTTTGGTTCTACCTTAAAAATGTTTCCAGAATATGACCTATTTTCATCATTTCTACTCAAACCACTTACATCTCTTATCACAGTAGATTCTGCCTCCACTCTTATTACCTCATGACATTTTCTCCAGACAGTCACCAGAATGATTGCCTTAAAATGTCAAATACTCAAAATATTTCACGCATCCATAATAAAGTCTGAGTGTATCTCATGGTTTATAAAAGCCCTGTATTTTTCATGGATACAACCACGGAGACTTTTTACTGTTCTTCAAACATAGCAAGCACATTCAGTGTGCCTTGGCCTTTAAGTTCTGGACATTAGCTCTCCAGGTATCTATGTGGCTCATCCTCCTCTCCACAGAAAATCTTTCCCTGGAAACTCTACCTAAAATGGCAACCCCCCAGTCTCTACTGTCTTTAATTTTTTTCCTTCTTATTACTTACCACTATTGAAAGCTACATATTTATTGATTTATTTTTACCTATTTCCCCCCAATAGAACATTAGAACAGGAAAGCAGGACTTCTATTTTGTTCTGACTATAATCTCAATGACTAGAACAAATCCTGTCATACAATAATATGTCTTAAATGAATATTTATGAATATATACATTAAAATTCATACTAATATTTGCATGAACTACATTGTAAAATATTCATGACTTATCTTTTATGAATATCTTTTTAAAATCATTTGAATATTTAAATAATCTCAAACATATACATGGACACCCATGTTCACTACAGCATTATTCACAACAGCAAAAAGATCTAAACAACTTGAGTGCCCATCATCAGAAACATGAATAAACAAACTATGGTACATACACACAATGGAATTGCATGCAATGTTAAAAAAGAACGAAGGATCTGAAAAACACCTCATTACTTGGATGAATCTGGAGGATGTAATGCTGAGTGAAATAACTCAATCACAAAAGGACAAATATTGTATGAGACCACTATAATAAAAACTCAAGTACAGGTTATACACAAAAAGAAACATTATTTGATGGTTACCAGGGATGAGAGGGGAAGGAAGGGTAAATCACTAAGTGTTGTTGTTGTTGTTATTTGCCATCGAGTCAGACCCGACTCATAGTGACCCCTCTTTGGGTTTCCGAGGCAGTATCACTATGGAAGTTGATTGCCCAAACTTCCTTTTGTGGAGTGGTTGGTGGGTTTGAACAGCCAGCCTTATGGTTAGCAGTCAAGTGCCTTAGGCACTATGCTACCAGAGTTCCCAAATCACTAAGTACAGTAGACATGTATTAAGAGAGATGAAGGGAAAGGTAACAATGAAGGAGAGGGCAGCACATGACCAGCGGCAAAAGACATCACTGGGAAGTACACAAGAGTAAAAGACAACAAAGATAAATACTGTTATATATACATTTTTTCAATAATAGTAAAAACAAACATCTACAAGTAGATACTCAGGTAATCCAAACACATGTGGAAAGGTGCATAAAGTACACCCATGATATATATATATAGGTTTGGCAGAGGACATTTCTACATATATATTTGTATATGCTGTATATATATCCAAGGATATTACATAGCATGTAGGGTACCAAGTTCTGAAAACTTCTTAGCCATAATCAAATACCTTTAGGGATGACTCACTGGGCTTGGGTCTCTGAACCACAGTCTTAGGGGACATCTAGGTCAATTCACATAGTCCACAAAGACAATTTTCTACATCCTACTTTGATGAGTAGTGACTAGGCAAAAGCTTGTGAGTGGCCCTCTAAGACACAACTATTGGTCTCTCCTCATCGGAAGTAAAGAAAAGTGAAGAAAATGAAAGACGCAAGGAAACAATTAATCCAAAGGACTACTAATGGGCTACACGAGCCACAGCTTCCACTACCAAGACACCAGAAGAACTAGATAGTACTGGCAACCACTACCAACTGCTCTGATCAGGATCACCATAGAAGGTCCTAGACAGAGAGAGGAAAAAAATGTAGATTAGAATTCAAAAACATAAAAAATACAAGATTTACTGGTCTGCTAGAAATGGCAGAACCCTTGAGACTGTGGCCTTAGACATCCTTCAAGCCTGGAACTGAACCCAGATCCGGCCACTAACTTTCAATCAAACAATATATAGGCCTATAAAGTGAATAATAATACCAGAGAGGAAATGTACCCAGGAAGGAAGTAGGAAGAGAGCTGTTACAGTGAGGCTATTTCAATCTTTGTAATGAAACAAAATGCATATACACTGTGGCATGGAAAATTAATTTGCTCTATGTACTTTCATGCAAACTATAATAAATACATATTTAAGTCATCTTTTAAATTGAATGCACAGTTGGACACGCCAAGGTCCTAATGAGCAGTTAAGTTGTTTCCATTTTTAATTATACACTGAGCCATGATTTATGAATTATAGCATAGTACCTAAGGCACTTGACTGCTAACCAGAAGGTTGGGCAACCTACTTCCATAGTGATACTGCCTCAGAAACCCAAAGAGGTGTCACTGTGAGGTGGGTCCGAGTCGACAGCACATAACAACAACAGCTAAATTTTTTATTATTCCATTATTCTTATGATAATTATAAAAAATAAATGTATTCAGTTGAAGCAAATAAAAAATTTCAGTTATGTAATAAATATTACTAAATTGTTCTCTAGAAAGATGTATAAATTGATATTTCTGAAATAATCTTATGATTAGTTTTCTCTTCTTTTTTATAAAACAATAGAATGGTACTAATGGTACTAATTAGGACTAGTGAAACAAAGTGTTGGTGGCTAGCATTTATTGCAAGTATCAGGAGGGTAGTAAGCCAAAAATAAATGAAGTGCATTACGATGTAGTAAATTACCTGGTATGACTTTTCTAGCCCTAAGTCTTTGTAAACACCATGGTGGAATTTGCTGGGAGCAACTGAGGAGCTCCTGATTGTTAACGTTATCCACCTGGGGTATTTCTGTTGCAAGTGGCACAAAGCAATGTTCTGGGAAGTTCGCTCTCTCAGGTGTTCAGAATTCTGATGTTACGATTGGTTAGTTTGGCCAAAAGGAGCCCTCCTAGAGACAGAAGTGGTCTCTCTGACTGCTGTCTGTGAAAGACGTGCTGCTGAGAGAATCGTGCTCCTGAGAGACATGCATTGCTGAGAAAGAGACACCAAGAGATGGACACGCACTGCTGGGAGAGTGGTTGAGAGACACTGTTGGCTGAGAGATGGTGGGCTGAGAGAGACTGAGCATTTTTCCTGAACTTGAATTGTAGCCTGGAGCTTCCCTAATAAACCCCATAATCTGTGAGTTCTGTGTGGTCACTGCAGCAAATTATCGAACCCAGCAGAGAGGTGGTGGGTGCTGAGGGAGGAAAGGCTGGTGTCAGGTTGGAGGGAGGTAGCATGTCTGGCCTCACGGGGATAGGCCTTGGACTACTACTGATGGTGATTCTGTCTTCCTCTCGTGGGGTTAGAGGAGGTCAGGAGATGCAGTCTCCCTGCCCCTCTGGCATATATCCAGTGGTCTAAAAACTATAGATGATCTATTAGTAATAAATGCATTCACAAATATACAGGCAGAAACAGGAAATTTAAGTAATTTTGTTTTCTAAATTATAATGTATACATGTATACATACCTATAAGAAAGTTATTTGCTGCTAAAAGGAGAGGGAGGCCACATCTCTTGACCTCCTCTAACCCCACAAGAGGAAGACAGAAGCACCATCAATAGCCCAAGGCCCATTACTGCAAGGCCAGCCAAGCTGCCTCCCTCCAACCCTTTCTCCAACCGTTCCTCCCAAAGCACCTACCACCTCTCTCCTGGGTTCGGTAATTCACTGCAGTGGCCACACAGAACTCACAGATTATGGGGTTTATTAGGGAAGCACCAGGCTACAATTCAAGTTCAGGAAAAACGTTCAGTCTCTCTCCCAGCCCACAGTCTCTCTCTTAACAGTCTCTCACAGTCTCTCTCCCAACAGTGAGTGTCCCTCGGTGTCTCACTCAGCAATGCATGTCTCTTGCATCTCTTTCCCAGCAGTGCGTATCTCTTTCAGGAGCGCATGTCTCTTTCAGCAGCAAGTCTTCCTCAACCAGCAGTCAGAAAGAGACTTCTTCTTCCTCTAGGAGGCCTCCTTTTGAGCCCAGCAGAGTGGCCAAACCAAGCAATCCTAACATCAGAATTCTAAGCACCTGAGAGAGAGCAGGAACCTTCCAGAACATTGCTTTGTGTTGTGCCCAACAGAAATACCCCAGGTAGATAACTTTTACAATCAGAGGCTCCTCAGTTGCTCACAGCAAATTCCACCACAGAGTTTACAAAGACTTATGGCTAGAAAAGCCACACTAAGTAATTTATTATACCACATTTGCCAAGCAGATGAAAACTGTACTTACTTAAAATATCAGTATCTTCAAAGTCTTGAAGAATGAGCTCTTCTGCAGTTTTACTCTTATTCTTTATGATGTTAATACAGTGAAGCACTGACTCAGGTAATTCAACTAGATCCTAAAAACGTGAGCAGTGAAAGAAATTATAAAATTGTGCATTATCACAATTATGCGTTGAATATTGTATTCTTAATTCTACTTCAAAATTTTAACATAAATATGTAAATGAAATAAAAGGGCTCCATATAAAGAGCATGGCATGTTGTTGTTGTTGTTATGTGCCATCAAGTTGAACCTGACTCATAGCGACCCCTCCTTGGGTTTCCGAGGTGGTATCACTATGGAAGTAGATTGCCCAACCTTCCTTCTAAGGAGTGGCATGGGTTTGAACCGCCAACCACAGTTCTGATAAATACATTTAGTTAAAATTTGCTTTTCATTTTCAGGTGATTATGCCTTTTTTCTAGAAAACAGTAAAAAATTAAAGATAATAATAATCTGTATAGCTTTAATGTGGTGAAAAATGTAACATCACATTTTACTTGTGAAAGTATGAAAATGACAAAATTCTCTGGAAGGTACCTTGGCATGTAACAATAATTATAAAAATAAATTCTACATTTTGACCCAGTATTCATAAAAATAATCTTATTCTTCTTATTCAGTATAGAGACTTCTATTGTTTTGTTTAATTAACAAATCTTTTACAACATCTGAATTGCAGATAAGGAGCTCTGGTGGTTAAAGTATTTGGCTGTTAACCCCAAGGTTGGTGGTTTGAACCCGTCAGCCACTCCTCAAAAGAAAGTTGAGGCAGGTTACTTCTGTAAAGATTTACAGCCTTGGAAACCCTATGGAGTTGCTATCAGTGGGAAATGACTTGATGGCAGTAAATCTGGTTTTTGAGAACTGCAGATATCATCGCTAAAAATACTTTCTGGCAAATTATCAGAAATATGGACAGGGATGCTTATCCCATCCTTATGAAAAGTTGAAAACAAAAGTACCAAAATAGAGAAACAGTTCAATCAATGACAATGGGATATTATATAGCAATTAAAAATTTCCTTTTCATGTATTTCTTATTATATTAAAATGCTAATAATAAAAGATATAATTCCAATTTTATTAAAAATGCTTGTATGTTAATAGATAATAATATAGGTGATTTTCTATCTTTAATACAATTTTTATATTTCTATATGTATCAATATATGTTATTTAATGATGATAAGGTTAAAAAATGAGAAAAGTAATATTCTTCTGCAAAGCCTATTCTAGAAAAAAGGCTCAAAAGTCCAACACTTAATACTCACTGTATCACTAGCATCACTATGGGTTTCTGAGTTTGAATCACTATCCACATCTTCTTTTTCCAAGGCAGAAATGCTGATTTTATCCAACTCAGCTTCTATTTCTTCTTCGAGCTTTGCATCATCATCATGATTGTTGTTGTATTCCATCCTTCATTATAAAACATAAAACCATTTAAAGAAAAACAGAGACTATTATGCATGTGAAAACTATGGGTTTGCTAATTTGTCATACCAATCCAACATGTTCTGTGTAAAGAGGCTTTAGTTCAACAAAATTTTATCACAGTTTATTCTTAAGGTTGTACTATATACTTCACTCATTCATTTTTTTAGTTTGTTTTCTGACTTGCTTATAAAAAAGGCAATAAGAGGAAATCTTTAGAGTGTTGGAACTGTTTAGTATCTTTGTGCAGTAGTGGATACACAAACTTTTACCAGTGATAAAAACTGTACAGAACTTAACACATACACACACAGGAATACAAATGAAACTGAGGAAATCAGAACAGGATAAGCAGATTGTGTCAATGTCAATATCCTGGTTGTGATTTTATACTATAGTTATGCTATATGTTACCCTTGGGGACATTTTGCAAACTGTTCAGGAGGCCTTTCTGTATTATTTCTTAAATCTTAATATGAATCTACAATAATCTCAAAATTTTTGATTTAAAAATATCCTAAATACTGACAGGACATTAAGAGTTAAATAAATCATGATAGATCCATAGAATGGAAAACTATACAATTTTTTTTTTTAATGGATAACTTTACTGTGGAAATGTAGCCCCAAATTACAAATTATAGAAAACATGTGGCAGAATAGTATGTAAAGTAAAATATCTACACACACACACACACACACACACACACACAATTTTTCAGACACAGAAAGTTTCTGGAAGAAATCAGAGAGCTCTTAATTTCATTTCATACCTATATATTGAACGGTATTTTAATCAGGAATACCAAATCAAAACGTACTGTCATCGAGTAGATTCCAACTCATAGCAACCCTTTAGGACAGAGTAGAACTGCCTCATAGGGTTTCCAAGGCTGCAAATCTTTAAGAAAGCAGCCAGCCTCATCTTTCTCACACAGAGAGACCAGTGGGTTCAAACAGGCAAGGTTTTAGTTAGCAATGCTAACACTTTACCGATGCTTTAGCCACTACACCACCAGAGCTGCTTTTACCATGAATAAGTACTATTTTATAATCTAAAAGGCTTTTTTTTTAAATCAATTTTATCCACAATCTCCTGGCTTCAAGGAGGAAAAAAAAAGGTGCACAATGTTATCTTGTAATCAAATTCACAAAATACATTTCAAAGTTTGCAGGTGGAAACTTAACTTTTTGACGTGGATACAAAGCAGAACACACAATACACAAAATATTAAGTAGAAAGAGAGGCAGAGAGAGTAGGTCAAAGATATCAGTAATTTCCATCATCTCCCGGTCTCTGTTGATCTACTGGCTCCTTAGACTAGCCGTGTCCTACAGCAATGTAACATGTCACTTAAAATGTTCTAGTAGCCACATTTTTAAAAGTAAAAAGAAACAGGTGAAATTTATGTTAATTTTAATAACACGTTATGTAATCCAGTGGGAGATCTGGTAGCGTAGTGCCTAAGGCACTTGACTGCTAACCAGAAGGCTCGCAGTTCAAACCCACTAGCCACTCCTCAGAAGCAAGGTTGGGCAATCTACTTCCATAGTGACACAGCCTCGGCAACCCAAGGAGGGGTCGCTTATGAGTCGGGTCCGACTCCACGGCACATAATAATAACAACAACTATGCAATCCAATATACCGAAAATCTTATTTTTTCATCATGTACTTCAAATAAAAAATTAACTATAAATTGTAAAAATCAACGTAAAGATTACATTTTTGTTTTCCCATACTAATTCTTCGAGATCTAGTATGCTATTTTCACCTACAACACATCCCAGCTTAAACTAGCTTCATTTTAAGCCTTCAATAGTCACCTACAGCTAGGAGTGACCCTTTAGGACAATGAAGCCCTAAATGAATTCCAATGTAATCAGACTATAGTAAACTACTTCAAGTTGCCAGGAAAAAAAAAAAAAACTCACTTGGAGTTGGGTAAAATTGCCTAAAGTAGAAACTCTTAAGGAATTCCTTTCAACTCTTGTAATAAAAGGAAAATCTACTTTAAGAAATAGCCGCCGTAAATTCTACACGGGGGCGGGGGGGGGGCAGGAAGAGAAAGGAAAACAACTGTTACGGGGTGGGACTAAACCAAAATCCCAAACACAACGCGGAGTCGGATCCGACTCATAGCCTCGCCTCTTTGGGTTTCCAAGGCGGTGGTGTAGAGCGTAAGGCATCTGACTGCTAACCAGAAGACTCGGGGTTCAAACTCACCAGTCTCTCCTCAGGAAGGAAGGTTGGGCAATCTACTTCCGTAATGATATGGCCTCAGAAACCCAAGGAGGGGTCGCTGAGTCCGATGGACTAAAAGGCAGTGCGTTATCACCATGGAAGTAGATTGCCCAACCGTAGACAGCCCAACCTTCCTTCCGAGGAGTGGCTGGTGGGTTTGAACCGCCGGCCTTTTCGTTAGTAGACAAATGCCTTAGGCACTACGCCACGGGGGTAGTAAAACATCAGATACCCCTAGAGAGTCTAGGTGGATTCTTAAGTTTTGAGTGAGCTACCAAAACCTTCACAACTGAAGCAAGCCTTAAGCTTCAGAGTTTACCGCCATCACTCCTTTAGCTCAGTGTGACCAGCGGTCCGCGGTTTCCTAGTTGCCTGGCAGCTTCGCCCTGGTGGAGAGGGATTGCAGTCGGTCTATGCTCCCGCCTGTCTGCCTAGCCACTTAAACACTAACCAAGACTAGGAGAATCCCCTGCTCACTCACCAGCAACCGTGTCCCACCCCTAGGCTAAAAGACCGCGTCCAACGACTCCAAACAAAGCGTAACCACGGCAACAGCCAATCCCAAGGAAGATGGAACGGACCTTGCCGTACAGGTGCCCCAGAAGGACAAATAAAGTCGGATCTAAATTGGAACTATTGCTGTATTTCAGGAGTTGAGGGAGCAGTTTAAGAATTTCTCCAGGTATTTAAATATTTCGAAAGGTATTTAATAAAGAAATTGAGCTTTTTTATAATTATCCAAGTAAAGATATCCACTAAATTAAGCTCTCTATATTTCTACCTGCATCTAGCGAATGTTGAGTTGTCCACGTGCAAATATTTATTCCACAGCATCGTTAACAGTGAATAGTGATTTGTGGGGTCTGGAAGTGATGGGACAGAAGTCAATAACCTGTTTGCCTTCCATAACAACCGTTTCTATAACAAAACAAAACAAAACAAAACCTGAAGTAATCAATCAATTTTCAATGCCTGTCAGAAACTGGTGGCATGGTGCCTAAGGCATTTGACTGCTAACCATTAGGCTGGCGGTTCAAATCCACCAGACACTCCTGGAAAGGAAGACTGGCAATCAGCTTCTGTAGAGATACCACCTCGGAAACCAAGGAGGGTTGGCTATGAGTGGGATTTGCCTAGGGGGCAGTGAGTTTGGTTTTTGGTTTATCAGACACTTCCCAGTGGAGTTGGTGTGTGTGTTTGTGACAAATGTGGAAAAAAAAAAAAAATTCTGTAATATATTTCACTCCACAAATACTGATGGTGACACACCACTGATTTTAATATAGACCTGAAGTTCTGAGTATATGTCATGCTATTTAATTTTAACTTAAAAAAATCATTAAAGTTTATTTTTTTATGGAACAATATATAGTGTACAAAGTGTAAAATTCCACTTTAGTTAATAACAGATATTTCGGATCTAAATATTTTTAAAAGTTTACAGACAGGAATTAATTTTCAAGAGGAAGTGGTTACACATATTGTGGAAGCTATCTGCTGTACAGTAAGCCAACAGCAAACATTGAGTCTCTGAAAAAAAAATAGTCTGTATTTCCTAGTAACAACAAACATGTAATTCTTGGTTACAACAAACTTAATAATATAGAGTGAAAAATCAGGGGACTTTTGCTCTTAAATATATATATGATAGTTCTTCTTTCAAAGGGGTAATACTTTCAGAAAATAAATTATCCTTGGTTTCAGATCTATTTATATGTAGGATTTTTCATTATGCTATTTTCATATTGATTTATAAACTGTAATTATGCTGGTTTATAGACTGTTTAAACTCCTTATTTAAAATATCCAAGCTACAATATTATGTTGACGGTCATAAGTAAAATCTTTTTTTTTTTATTAGGATTTGGGTGAAGATTTACAGAGTAAATTCACTTTTCATACGGCAGTTCACATATACTTTGTCTCATGTCATTGACCAAAATTTACAATGCAGCAGCTCCCCTCCCACTTCCTCCCCATAGTTACCTCCTCCCAGTGTCCATCCCTTCATACTCTTCTGCAAAAGGTCATAAGTAAAATCTTAAGACTAATTTTATTTGTATTTATGGAACATCAGATTTTTCCTAAAGTTTATCAAATCATTTAGTAATCAACTAGTTTTGAAAACCATGTCTACATTGTTTTGCTTTGCTTTTCTTCTTAAAACTTACAGTGTCAAAAAAAATACAGCAAATAAAAATGCTGAAAGTTCTGCTAAAGATAAATTAAACCATAGTGAGGCTACTATATATCTTACTCTGTGACGTAGTATTTTCAGTATGAAAGAAAAGTTACAACTCTATAAATTAGTCAGTTATATTACTAGTAAGTAAGGAACAAAATGCAATTACCTAAAGGAGAAAAGATTGAGTTACCAAAGATTTCATATTACTTGTTCCACAATCAACACCAATGGAAGTAGTAGTCAAGACATCAGACAACATATTGCACTGGGCAAATCTACTGCAAAAGTCCTCTTTAAAGTGCTAAAGAGCAGAGATGTTTATGTGAAGACGTAGGTGCGGCCAACTCAAGCCATGGTATTTTCAATGGCAGTGAGCTCAGATGCATGTGAGAGCTAGACAATGAATGAGGGAGACCAAAGAAGAGTTGATGCTTTTGAGTTGTGGTGTTGGTGAAGAATACTGAAAGTACCATGGACTGCCAAAAAAGCTAACAACTCTGTCCTGGAAGAAGTGCAGCTGGAATTCTCCTTGGAAGCAAGAATGGCCAGACTTCGTCTCACCTACTTTGGTCATGTTGTCAAAAGGCACCATTCCCTGGAGAAGGACTTTGTGCTTGGTAAAGTGGATGGTCAGTGAAAAAGGGGGAGGCCCTCAACGAGATAGATTGACAGAGTGGCTACAACAATGGGCTCAAATATAGCAAGAAATTTGAGGCAGTGTTTCGTTCTGTTGTATGTAGGGTTGCTATGAGTTGGAGCCGACTCGATGGCACCTAACAACGACAACAAAATAGTTATATAAGTAAATTTAACCTGCAACTATTGTTTGTTAACTAATGCATAGTATTTAACAAGTCTATTTAGTTATAATCTTCCTAGAAATTATAATTTAAATCAAGTATACCCAGACCTATTTAACCTAAGTAATTTTCTTTTTTAAATAAGTGACTGTTTTCCTCTAAACTTTGCTCTTATTTTGAAAATTGTTTGCAGTTTTCTTTGGTTTATAGCCTATTGGCCTAATACAGTATTTCTCCCTTGAAAAGCATGTAATAAATACTGAGAGAACGAAAGGATAAGAAAAAACTGTTTTTTCCTTAAATATCTGACAAGAATAGTGTTAAATAAATTGTGGAACCATATTAGTTTAATAGCATTTCCCAATAGCTGTTTTATTCTTCATAAGGCATTGATATAATTTAAATAGCACAGAATATCATTATAGTACTCAAAGTGCTCAGCCGATAACTGAAATATCAGCAGGCAGAACCCACTAGTGGCTCCGTGGGAAAAGACTTGGAGATCTGCTCTAGTAAAGATTACAGCCTAGGATTCCCTATGGGACAGTTCTACTCTGTCATATCATATATAGTTGGATTTGACTCCACACTACACAGCAGCAACCACTCAAGACAAGTACGTATCAGGTGTTTGTTTATTTCATTTTCTTACGTAGGAGCTCTGGTGGTGTAGTTCCTAGGGCATTTGACTATTAACCAGAAGTCTGGAAGTTCAAACCCATCAGCCACTCCTCAGAAGGAAGATTGAGCAGTCTACTTCTGTAGTGATACTGCCTTGGAAACCCAAGGAGGGGTAACTGTGAGTCGGACCTGACTTGACGGCAGTGAGTTTTAGAAGATTATTATTGAATAAAAATCCTTTTTAACATGTAGTTGAATTCCTCAATCTCTGCTTCTCTTGTTCTACTTAAGGATTATCACAGACCTTTAAATTCCCTCTCATTGTCTTCCCTCCTTGAAGCTAATACAACCATCTACTTACTTCATAAGAAAATGTAAGCCCCTCATTTTCCTACAATTTCCATACCATTTTCACACCCTCATACACATCTCTTTTATGTAATCTTAGCATTTCTATACTAAGATGTGGTATAACAATATTAATAGCTAATGTTTAGCCAGGCATTGACTAAGTGTTTTACAAATGTAATCTCATTTAATTTTCACAACCTACATTTAAAGAAGGAACTCTGGTAGCATAGTGCCTAAGGCACTTGACTGCTAACCAGAAGGCTGGCGGTTCAAACCCACCAGCCACTCCTCAGAAGAAAGGTTGGGCAATCCTACTTCCGTAGTGATACTGCCTCGGAAACCCAAGGAGGGGTCGCTATGAGTCGGGGCGACTCAATGGCAAATAACAGCAACAAACATTTAAAGAGGGTAGGAGGAGCTCTGGTAGCATAGTGGCTAAAGCACTTGACTGCTAACCAGAAGGCTGACGGTTCAAACCCACCAGCCACTGCTCGGAAGGAAGGTTGGGCAATCCTACTTCCGTAGTGATACTGCCTCAGAAACCCAAGGAGGGGTCGCTATGAGTCAGGGCCAACTCGACGGCACATAACAACAACAACTATTATAATCCTCATTTAGAGATGATTGAACTAGGGTTGGAAAGGTTAGCTAGAGAGTGGCTTATATCTCTGGATTTGAATCTCAGCTCTTCCATTTATTAACAGACAGGATGACTTCGGGTAAGTAACTTTACATTCTCAGGTCTCTTTCCTCATTGGTGATAAAAGAAAACCTACTTTGCAGAATTTTGATAGTCAAGGGAATCAGTGTAAATGACACACTGTAGGAGATGGGATAATGTTAGCAACAAAAGTAATTAAAGCATACAGATTTGAATTCAAATCCCATCTTTGCCTCTTTCTAGCATCCCAATGCTGGCTGTCCTACTACAGTTCTCTCTCCTTATCTGCCAGGGATACATTCCAAGGCTCCAGTGGATTCCTGAATTTGTAGACTGTACCAAACCCAAATATGGTATGTTTTTTCCTATACATATATACCTATGATAAAGTTTAATATAAAATTAGCCACAGTAAGAGACTAATAACATAATAATTAAATAGAACAATTGTAACAATATTATACTATAGTAAAAGTTACATGAATGTGATCTTAGCAACCTCAGCATACGATGTTTTTTCTTTCCTTATTAAGTCAAGAATCTTCACCTTTTCACATAAGGAATCACTTTATGGCTTCTCTTTGACATATCCAAATTGCCAGCATCAGTACTCTTGTGCTTTGGAGCCATTATTGAGTAAAACAAGGGTTCATTGAACACAAGCACAGTGACACCACCACAGTTGATCTGATATGATAACCGAGATGGCTACTGAGAGACTAATGGGTGGATAGCATATACAGAGTCCCGAGCAGGACAGAGCAGATGGTATGAGATTTCACCATATTGCTTAGAACAACATGCAATTTAAAAGTTAAGAATTGTTTATTTCTGGAATTTTCCACTTAATATTTTCAGTTACCCATGGTTGACCGCAGGAAATTAAAATCACGCAAAGCAAAACCACAGATAAGAGGGGATTGCTGTACCTACTAAAAGGAACCCTGGTGGTGCAGTGGTTAAGCACTCAGCTGCAAACTGAAAGATCGATGATTTGAATCCCCAGCCCAGTCCAGGGCGAAAAAGATGTGATTGTCTGCTCCTGTAAAGATTACAGTCTTAGAAACTGTATGGGACAATTCTACTTTGTTCTATACGATTGCTATGAATTGGAATCAACTTAACAGCAGTGTATACCGTACCTGCTTCGCTTTGTAAACTATCTGCTCGCTTGAGGTCTCTTTTCTTTCTAATTTTTCTTGCACATGCCAGAATGATGCCTTTCCATTACTTTCAGAAAAGAAGAATGAGGGAGAGATATAAATCATTTAACAAAGCATACATGATACCATCATGGTCTTTACTGAGTGTACTTTTCTGGCTGTCTTTCATCTCTTGCTGTGCTGACCCACATGTTGTTGCATACTACTGGAAAGCTTGTGGATATAGTGTTCCATCTGTCTTGGATACTTTCTACTTCTATACCATCTTTGTCGGATTAAACCCATTGACATTGAGTCAAATCTGACTTATAGTGACCCTATTTGTTGTGTTGTTGTTAGGTGCCGTCGAGTCGGCCCCCGACTCATAGTGACCCCTCCTTGGGTTTCCGAGGCAGTATCACTACGGAAGTAGGATTGCCCAACCTTCCTTATAGGATGAAATAAAACCCTTTTGGGTTTCCAAGGCTGTAAATCTTTATGGAAGTGAAACCGAGTAAAGTAAAAACTATTTCCCCTACCCTGGTACCTGGGTGGAAATAGATAAGTAAACTAAATTACCCCCACCTATTTCCCTACCCCAAGCAGATGAGTATTCAGTTCCTTAAAGAACTGAGTGGAAGGAAAATATTCTTTCCTGCAGGTGATAGACTCCTAAAAGTGTCTTAGAAACAACTTGCAAATTAACTCTGGCCTGTGGACATGCTCAATAGGGGAGAAAGGAACAAAAGTTAATCACTGACCCTCTCCCCTCTGCCCAAACCCATATCAGTTTATGACAGGAAGCAGGTGTGACTAATCTGTCTAGGTAAAATCCTCACCAATTTCAAGTTCACGCCCCAAATTCCTCAACCTTTTGTGAATATGCATAACCCCCTCTCCTGAAACCTACAAAAACTGTATTTCATGGTGTCTCAGGGAGTCAGATCTGGGTACGAGGATACTCCTACTCCTTACATTGCCACTTTGCAGTAAATAATTTTCTCTCCTCTCAGTCTCTGTGTGTAAACTGTTTTGGCCTGACTGCACACAGACAGGGACCCGTGTTTGGTCCTATAACAGAAGCAAACTGCCACATCTTTCTTCTGAAGAGCAGCCAGTGGGTTTGAACTATAGACTTTTCGGTTATCAGCTAAGTGCTTAACCACTGTGTTATCAGGGTTCCTGTTTTATCCCTCTTAATCAAACTTCATTTGAGAATTATCTTAAATTCTTCTGATTTGTGACACTTTTCTGTTGGGAGTGGAAATATTTTCAGATATGCCAAAGGCTTCTGTTTTAATGTGTATGAGAGAACAGGATATAGAGATACTTGGATTATCTGAAGCAGGAATATTAAAAAAAAATTCTCTCATCTGTGAAACTTTCTGCTCTTCATTTCCTGCCTTCCTATAATTCAGTGGGTATCCTTTATGTAGCCCTTTAGGTCCTGGGTTTGCAAATTCTCCCAAAATGATTGGCTGGACCTTAATCTGCTAAAAGATTTTTTTTTTTTTTTTTTTTTTATCCACGTAAATGGCTTGTAATCCACCCAATATGATTGGTTGCTTTACAATCCACCTTAGGAATTGGTTTACAAAAACTGTGCCTTGAAATTGATAAGGAATTTTTCTATGTCAGCTTAACCCTGGATCTGACTCAGGGTTTTCCCCAAGCTGCTGGTAGAGTGGTGGAGAGCTGGACCAGTACCCAATTTCACAGACTTTTTTATTTTTTTTGAGGGATCAAGAGCCTGGAGAGAAGAGCATCCTTTGAACCTGAGGTCCCTGTGTTGGTAACCTCCAAGATCCAAATGAAAAGGTTAACAGCTATAACAGGGAGATGGTAACACTGAAGACAGAGAAAAACTATACCAAGATACTTAGAGATGCAAAACAGCAGCAGAGCCAGTGGCAGAAAGGCCCAGAAAGGACCCAGAGGCACAGCCCACAGCAAGAGGCCCAGAAGAAGCAGAGAGAGCAGTTAGGGTAGTGGTGTTGGGCAAAGTTGCCCCATAGATAAGAGAAGAAGATGGCAGTGGTGGACAAGATCGGCCCACAGAGCAGAGCTGTATACTTCTTGTCAGTAGGTCGCTAATGGAGCTGAGCATCTCTGGACAGGAGGACACCAGTGGAGTTGGATGTCCTATAAAGGGGAATCAACTGCAATCCAGCCCTTGCAGGAAGATGCCTGAGCAAGGGAAGCAGCGATATGGGGGCCAAGCTGTTGTGTCTTTGGCAGCAGCAGATTTCCCAGCTGTACTGAGAGCTTTAACCCTAAGGCCAAGAGGAAGCCTGTCCTGAGGAGGCCGAGAGGAGGCCAGGCAGGAGAGGGCTGAGAGGAGGCCTGTCCAAAAGGTCAAGAGGTTGCCCACAGAGGTTTGGCCTGCAACATACAGAAGTTGCCTGTAAAATAGTTTTGTCTCAAGTTCTGTTGTAATGCCAGCCTAACCCAGGTACTGCCCCAGGGTTTTCCCAAAGCTGCTGATTGAGAGCTGGACCAGTAAGCACAGGGGACCAGACCCAACCAAGAAAAGCCACACCCAGAGAGAGAACAAACATAGCTATGCTGCACCTGACCTGAGCTAACAATACACCTGCTGGGAGAGAGAAGGAGACACCTGCTGACACCTGTTCCTTGGAGTGCCCGCCCAGAGACACAGAAATGGACATGTGT